TATAATTAAAAATACCTCTATATTTGCTCTGGAGTCCCAAATACTTAGCAAAGTGCCATCATAATTGGGAAGTCGTATAGAATCAGGATGGAATTCGCTCAAGCTATTCACATTTATAACCATTCCTTTAGCTCCCAGTTGTCCATTTAGGAGCTCCACTGATGATGATGCATCTTGACCATCATTATCCATACAAGTTGATAGGCTTTTTAGGTGTTTCAGGTACACTTGAAATTCATGTGTTTCTTCAAATGCTTTTCCCTATAAATCAACGTTCATGATTCAAGCAAGCAATTAAACCAATTCCAAATTCCAAATTCCATTGAGAGATAAAAAGTATTTTTACAACATTTCTTTACTCCACACAACAATTCAGTTGATAATGAAACACCAATACAATGGGTTTATAGAGTGTACTTTACAGCTATGAATATGAAATAGTTCTGAAACATTCTTTGATATTTTGTGTGCTTCACATAAACTTTATACACTTACAGCATATCGTAACAATCTGCTAACTGAAACTGATTCTTTGAACTTTTTCTTAGCATCTTCCCAGCTGGTGAGTTTAAAATATTCTACCACTGCTTCTTGGACAGGTCTGACCTGTTTGATTTCTTTGGCAGCTAACTTCATGTCCTCAAGGCTCATCTCAAGTTTAGCAACCTTGGAAAGAGAAAAGAAAACCTTAACATAATTCATAGCAATATTTTTGTATAATTTTTGGTTTCTTTGATTTAACTGAACAATATCATACCTGCTCCAAAAGAAAAATCTTGTCTTCATCATAAAGACTGCACAGTTCCTTAAACTGCCATTGCTTCAACACTGGCTTCCCCTTGATGATTTCAGATGCCTTAACTTTTTGGTCCTTCAACTCTCCCTTTTCATACAATGAATTCAAATTTAAAAAGTGGCTCCATCCATCTTCAGGTGTCTGCGCCATTGTGAATACTTCACTCAAGTTTCTTTTCTATAAAATTAAAAAAGGTAACTAAGTGTGATGTAAAAACAAATTGAAAAAGCAAGTACAGTACTGGGAAAATAATACACAAAGGAATGGTAAAATAAAAGCATCTATGTTTTAAAAAAACTATTTCCTAAAAATTGACTACAGCCAATTTGATATTGTCAATTTGCACACAATTTGAAATTTCTACACTCAGTACTTGAGATACATATACTCTGTAAAGGTGTCCAAATACTTAATGATTTATTCAAGAGACTTGAGCACATRTCTCTCCAGGTATCACTTGGTGATCCAGCAGAGCTACCTCTAAAAAGTTGTGTGCGGCAGATTTCTACCTAAATGAAATAAATAAATTAGCTCTTTAGTTTTCTAAATTGTTTTGCCACTTTCTATTGAAAATAAAATGGTAGCACTATCAAATACTTCATTGGTTTTTGATGATAAGGAGCTCATGATACTAGGTATCATCATCCGTAAAAAGTATAATTTGATACCTCATCTTTATAAGTGAGTCCATGTYGAAAGGACSCAGTGTTGTTGTGCATAGCACCTAGCCATCKAGCTTCTTCATCCTTCAGTCCCACATATATTCTTGCAACACGACCACAGTAGTTCTTGTCCTCTRGGTAGAGGTCATGTAGTTCTTTTGTCGCAATGCACAGATGTGTCCCACCAAGAACTTCATAWTCATATTCATTAASTTTACTGTGGTCAAATGTTTCCTTCTTTTCTATATCTTTCAYCAAGACAAACAACGGTTCGTAGTTGCCATCTGGTTGATCTCTCAAATTTTTGACTAACTGAGAAATGAAGCTCTCATCAACTTCGCGGATTTTCCTCTCTTTTGGAGGAACAGCTATCTTCTCAATAGGGATAAACTTAGGTGTTCCTAAAAATAAACAGAGAATACATATAGCAATACACATTTTTTTGCAAAACATGTTACTGTGCAACTATGTTAAGTTACATGTAGGCACCCAGACCAAMATTTGGAAAACAKAAAGTCAGTTGAAAACAGAGGATCATGGRAAAATACWGTGTAAARMTAAGCATCAGTCTTTTATCTGCTGGCGAGTGCTTGTCAATGAATACYGRTTTACTGAATRTGGACACTGGGTCAAGTTTGATCTGGGTGGCCAGTTGTTGTARTCACACATAATAATATTTATCATTATAATAATTTTTAACAATAACAATAGTCTTTAAAATCTCATTCTAAGCAGGCATASATTTTCACATGTACTAACAACCTKGATAATGGCCGTTCAGGCTGAAAACTTGGTTTCAATATTAAATTGCATAATCATGCAAAAGAATCTCTACTTTGAAAAATAATAAAATAGGAGTCATTACAAGATTGATGTATTACATATACCTTGCATAAGTGTGAAACTGATCATATCTGCATATTTTACTTCCCTGGACTAAAAACTGCTGAGAAATTCATTATGATAAAACAACTAGCTTAGCTACTAACCCTCTAATCTGCAATCATTGCACCTATTTTCTATGTCTTTGACATATTGGCTTGATGATGGCTGACCCTTTAGCTTTTTGGCCTTGTGGTTCTTTGAATACACTGGAGATAAAGGTCTTTTCTGTTGTTCAACTGAGTTTGTTCTTTGCTGTCCTTGTAACTGTGTGTGCTGTTCAGTTGATGATGATGGTGATGGAGTGCTTAGTTTGGCCAGTGCAGCACATATCTGTTCTGCCAATTCTTTTGGATCTTTAGTGGAGATCTTTTTAAATATGCCATCGCAGTCAAATTTGTTAAAGTAAACTGGGTCTACTGTTGCATATTTGAAAGATCCATCCTCATGAGGAACAAACTCTAGCTACAAATAGATATAGTTATTACTATTATGGTATAACTTTGTGCATGAAAACTGTTTTAAAGTGACGTAAAAAATTGGTTATTTAAAGAAAATCAGAGAACTTCTAGTTTGAATACCTGGACAACATGTTTTATATTTGATCTCACAGTTATATCTAGGGGTGACGCTCCAACTAAACAATTTGCTTGTTCTAATTTCTTTTCCCCCTTTATATAAAAATCCTTTGTTGTCCTCTATCTTGATCGTCCAAAGTTTTTGCTCATTCGTACGACCCATGGCTCGATATAAGACTGCTTAAACTCTCAAGTAAACACGTGTAACATCTATCAAGAACCATGACACAATGAAAGCTGATCTTGAGAGTCGCAGGGTTTCCGGTGATGCAGAAAAAGGCCGCTAACATTTRGGTGATAAAAYAAGTACTCGATAAGTTTATAAGATGGAATAAGCTTATTAAGTTATGTAACTTAGCTTAAGCTTATGGATATTTTACCGAAAAAAAATGTTAAGTTATATAAGTAATATTAATACTTAAGTTTAATGTACTACGCATTAAAAGAGACCAGAAACTTCTTATACGAAGAAAAAATATAGTTTTAAAGCGGTGTCTTTTAATAGCTGGCAAAGTAAACCGATTTCTATAAACAGTGTGAAGTTGTGAACTSGAAGGTTTCCCTTTGAATAGAAAACTTGCTTTTCGACTCGCCGACATGAYAATCAAATCAAGTTTCTAGCCCCAAGATTGGCACAAAACAAAACTGAGATATTTTTTGAAGAGCCAGGGATTAGTTTTTACAACTTACCACTTTATTTCTAAAGGAAAGTTCGTGTATGCTCAGGAACGAAGACCAGGTACCGACTCATTTTGCAAATATACTCAATGCGCATGTTCCAAATGAATGCATTTCATTTGTCAACCACCAGTCACATGTCAATTCAAACAGAAAGCGTGCCAAGCCGTGATGTCTCAAGATCACTCGTGTGCAGTTAGTCTTAGTGAGATTGTTCTAAGCGACCGTGTAACAAATGTGAATAATTTTGGTTATCTTCTTGAGATGTAAGCTTCAAAGCAGCCTAGCAATGTCTTTAAATAATGCACCTTGTTCGAGCACGCCCATTAAAGGCCCAAGATGCTTGAATTTACTAGACGATTCTACTGATTCGGTTGCCAGCAGTTTAAGTTTACCTTCACCGCCGAAGTCACGTCATAACATGGATCAAACCATTGATTTACTTGACTACAGCAACACCAGTGACAACAGTCAAGATAAGCAACCGTCGCAGTTGACTATTTGCCTATACGAAAGTACCAGTACTGAACATGACTTGGATGATAACGAAGGTAAAGCATTAATTAATAATTAAGCTTAAGCTTTAAGTTAACTTAACTTAGCTTAACTTAACTTAAGTAACTTAGTCTGAATTGAAAAATCAAAAAAATTCCAAATGATTTTATTCAATTCATTAAACCTTATAGGTGAATCTTTGATTGTTTATGACGATGACACACAACCTCTAAGTTCTGGAAAGAGGCAAAATACCGAAATTCAAGGTAAATTGACTACATAACATGCATAAGCTACAGTGCTGTACCTTATGATTACATTTAAGTAAGTTATAAGTTATAATTTTGTGATTTCTGATTTTAGGGTATCCTGATGATATCTTATCTCTAAGTCCTATTAAAAGAACAAGAAAGGGTCTTGTAAATGAATCTCAAGGTACTAAATTCTATGTTTTCTGGCTGTGAAAATGAATCTGCTCAAGATGTATTTTTCTTGGATGAAACTTCTAAATCAGAAAATCAATCAAGTGAAATGAAACAAGTTTGATTTTCCTCTTTTGGGATCAAACTTACCATGCACCTCTGATGGTACTTTGAATTAACAAATAATTTGTATTTTGATATTTATTTCAATCTTCAATTGTTAGTTTTGTCTTTGACTGATGATGAAGAGAACATAACTATAAGCAAGCAACATGAAAATATGTCCCCAGGTATTTATACATTGAAATATTTTGCTCTTACTAAATCAATAAATATCCTGTGTCATGCATTTTATTATAATGCAATGGGATGTGTTTTATCAGAACAATTGTCATTAGTGTTTGATAGGGCACTTGTTTAAATTATTATTTGCAATTTCTAGGTGGATCCTCAGTTGATTATGACAAAACTGTTACAAGTGTGAGCAACTATCAAGAAACTAAAACTCAAGGTACATGATAAAAGAAATTCCAACATTAATTATCCCATGCTACAGTACTTTGTATTTATGGTCACTGTCAGTGGGAGATCCAATACATGTAGAAATCAAAATATTTCATTAATTATGAGTCCTATTTTTAGGCTTCTCTTTAATTGATGTTGACGATGATGAAGATGAATTGGTCACAACAAATTTGAAAGATCCAGAACTCAAGCAACCACGTGGTATGGGAATTTTTAAATTTACTTTATAAAACAGTGGCTTAATAACACTGTTTATGTTACTGTTTTGAAGTTTTTTAATGACTAAGATACTAAGGAACAAAGAAACCTAACATATATCGCTTATTAAAAAAAGAAACCTAGAAATTTCAAATTGGCTAGCCTAGTATATTAAATTAGAGTTATTTCTGGATTTATTGCAGCAACTTATACAGAGGAACTTCAGAACAAAAAGATATTTCTTCATATTACAAAGTCAATGCATGATACCAAAAATATAATTAAGTGGCTGATAAGTTTAGGATCAGTAGTGTTGACATTTTTGAACAAACAAGTGGATGTTGTTATTTCTGATGAAGACTGTATTGGAAAAGCTAGTAGCAAAGATGATTATAAGGAAACTTTCTCAAAGCATCAGTCACGCAGTGCATCCATGCTTGATATGGCCAAAAAAAAAAGTCAAATTGGATCATCCTCTGTACGGAAATTTGTCTCCAAATGGAATATAAAAGTTTTCAAATACACTTACATTTTAAAGTTGATGAAAAAACTTGAAGTTCAACAGAGACAAACCAGTCATAAGGAGAAATTCAGTGATGTGAGAAAACTTAAGGCACCATTCATAAAAGTGGAAGACCAGTCAAGACTGTATAGGCCAGAGTTTGTAGAATTTGTTAGCTTCCCATATCTAGATTTTGATACTATTAGCTCTTCATCTCCTTTTGATAAATGGTTTAAGGAGAACTATAAATCAAGTTAAATTAATTCAAGTAGTTAGATGGTTATAATTAATAGCTTCAATCAATTTAAACCTTTTTCAATTAGGTGTTTATCAATTTGATTATAAAATCTGTATATATAATAATTATATTTAATACTCACAATGACACTATTTGAGCCAAACAAGCATTGTTTAAAAAAATATGATACTGTGTTGATGCTAGATCAGATTTCAATCTAGATTTCTTATCTTCAAACATTTGCTCTGTTGTTTTGTTTTAGTTTGGAATGAATAAAAATTTGACTTTGCAAAAATATGTATCTAGATAATGTTCTTACTAGTAACAGTAACAACTACATTTAACATAATTATAGTTGATTTTTGGTTTTGGATATGAACTGTGAACATTTAAAAATAAAAATAATAAAATGTTTAACTTCAGTCCTGAGCAATGCTCTTGGCTGATTTGATTTAATTTTTACAAATGAAGATAAATCAAACAATTCTTGACAAGTTTCCTTACTTATCAATTATTCTTTGTTTTGATTGCTAGATGTTAGAATTAGAACCAATGAAGAAATCATGTGGCTTTTCACTATTCCATGTTGCGAGAAGAGATGTCTTCATAAGCTGTCCATTGGAGACATCCATGATGTTGAGGTTGTTTTAAAGGAAAGGACACAAACAGAGAAAAGGAATTACTTACTTGAATTTCTGCATCAGCACAGCACACTGGATGACTCTGGAGAGTACAATGTTAATTATATAATAAAAGGAAGACATGTTTGCAGAGAAGCTTGGCTTCTTGCACACAATATTCCTAAGAATTCGTTTTGGAGATTACTCACAAAGTTTAAGGATGGTGCCATGAGAGTTGAACATGGTAACAAAGGAAAGAGGTCTATCATGCCCAAAACTGGAGAATGCATTGCTTGGCTCCAGTACTTCTTTAATACCATTGGTGATCACATGCCCGACAGCAATGCCATCCATCTCCCATCATGTTTTAGCAAGAGTGATGTATATAGAAAGCTTCATGAGGAAAATTCCTCTTTCAATCAGCCAACTGTTTCACTCTCCCATTTTTACAGCATTTGGGAGCAGCACTTTAGCCATGTTACAATTCCAAAGGTAAGCATCATAAAGATCCTTCCTATATTTTTAACACTGTGTGAGGGAGCAAAAAAAAAAATCTAAAAAACATTTAAATGTAGACGTCTAGACATTAATTAAAGTCTTTCTTTTCTTGTTTTTTTTTTTCTGTCAAAAGGAAAACCGTTTCACAAAGTGCACTGAATGTACCCGTTTTAAAAATCTCAAGGAAAAACATCCTTCTCTTCGTGACACCATCAATTCAGAACTGAATGAACACCTTGATTTAGTATGGTAAGTACAGATACAAAACACTGTTTTTTGACTATAATTCATGCCATGCATATGTAACAGAGTCAAGGGAGTACATTGTTGTACAGCTAATATTGATTGAATTACTTGTAAATAACTGTAGGTTAATTGATTTTCCAAAAGAACATTATAATTATGTTGTATTTAATGTTATAGGCAAGAGAGGCGTGTCTATTATTTGCATCGTTATAAAGCCAGGGAATTTTTACATAAATATCTCACAATCATAGATGATGGAATGGACCAGCACCAATATACCCAAAGTGAGGA